GTCAACCATGACACCACCTGAAAGTGCAAATAATCCCTCCCTGGATCACCACGTTCCCTCACTCATACCCTGCGTCTGGCCTCCTGTACCAGAAAGCACGTTCCCAAACAGAGCCCCATGCCGCCCTCCCCGGCTGTTCTCTCTGGTAGTTACCTGTCTCCATTCCTCCCACCAGTACACCTCTGCGCTTACCTATGACGGGGTGAAGGTGATGGCTGAGGCTTTCCAGAGCCTGCGCAGGCAGAGGATTGATATCTCCCGCCGGGGAAATGCTGGGGACTGTCTGGCGAACCCGGCTGTGCCCTGGGGTCAGGGGATTGACATCCAGAGAGCTCTGCAGCAGGTAAGGCTGGTTAATGGTTGCCCCACCTCAGGGGAGCCTCGGTCTTGGGCAAAACACAACTGTTTTTTTTTTTTTTTTAAGGAAGGGCACACCTGAAGTTTGGAACAATGACTGCGTTGCATTTGGGTCTCTCGACACACACGAAAGCCCACATAAAACATTTTTTTAAAGCAAATAATGTGGCATAATCACTTCTTATAGTGTAAAAGCTGTGTTTTCTGCTTAGCAATTAGGCTGAAAAAGGAAAGCTGGTGATTTTCTGTGTTTAGAAAGGGGACTTGAAACTGGAATGGGATGAAACTGAGCCAGGTGAGCAGTCTCCTGGAGACCCGCCCTCTTGCCATGATTTTCTGGATTTTTCTATTACCTTTGCTCTCTGCACACATTCTGTGAGGACCTACTGTGTGTGGTGGTGGGGGGGCCAGAAAATATTTCTTAGTACTTCTGATGCTACCTTCTTGCTTCTCGGCACTGCAGGCATCAATTTTGTTGGCCCTTAAGAACAGATACAAAACAAAGATAAAAAATATCTGGGCCCATTCCAATCAACTGGCCGTGCAATGGATTCTGAGGCTGACTCCAGGTAGAGGGGGAAGTATAACTATTCCGTCAGTGATGTGTCTGCTGTGGAAGCGGGATGAGGCAGTGGTACATGTGGGTGTATACTTAACATCCCTGGGTTAGAGGATCCTGCCCACATGCCTCAGCTTTGTCATTTTTGGAGGGCCTCGAAATCTCTAGAAGCACCTCAAGCCCAGGCTATGGTCGTAACAAATAGCACCGTATTATCCTCTGATGCCTCCTGATAGAGAGGATGTCTTTCCAAAGGCCCTGGAAAAGGATGGCATTGCTTACTGCACAATGAAGTCAGGGCGTCGGGCATAGTGGTGAGCCAGCAGCAGCAGGACCAAATGGTGCCAGTGCCCTTTGGGACCCCACTTCCCAACCAGTGGTGTTGCCTGGGTAAGACTTTGAGGACTACATTCAGCAGAAGATGAAGTGAGGCTCCCGGGGGGTGGGGGGAGAGGCACGTTTCTGAATGAGGGAGAAACATAGAGCAAAATGTACAACGATTTCCATTTGTTTGCCAACCACACGTGCACAGCGTGAGCAGTTTTCACAACCTGGAGAAAGAGACGGGAAAGGAACCTCACCAGCTGTTCCTCAGCCCTGATGAAGCGCCTTGTCGTAGAGGAGAATGAGGAGTTCTGTCCTTTGGAAAGAAGCTTAACGGCAGCCCTGCTAACTGTGGGAGGACCGTGCACAGGACCTCCCCAGCCATTTTTGCCTCCCCGGGTCCCTCCACAAAGTGGCCTCCAAGTCACCAGGCAGCAAACAGCAGACACGAGGCAGCTTCCAGAATGATTGCCAAAGGGGCAGTACCTCCCCCTCAGCTTATTTAAAATGCAATTGCAGGCTTCACAGTCGAGACAGATTCTGTTTGCAATGTGAGATGATTTCCGAAGGTCCCAGGGACTGGCCCTCTTCACAACCCTCCCAGCTCCCTCGCCTCTCCCATCTTAATGGAGTCCCTGAAAGGGTATTCTGATGCCACTATGGCAGTGATGAAGCCTGTGAGGTGAGGCAGGGTGGCTGGAAGGGCTGTAAGCCAGCAGGCAGGAGAGCTGGGCTCCGTGCCCAACGGGGCCCCTGGCTCTCTGGGTAACCTTGACATATTCATTTAGCTCTCCTGTAGACTTCCCTTTCCTTATCCTTGAAAGTGAGGAGTCAAGTCTCAACGGGCTCTGGGAATTTCCAGTCTCAATTTTATTTTCTTATGGTGCAACCCACATCCTTCTGGTTATAATATATACTCATTTTCTACTTCTGCCCTCATAGGGTTTGAGCAGTTGCTTTAGTCAGAAGAATATTGACCTCTTTTCTTTTGTCTTAGAGCCAAGATGCATGTGCATGCCTGCACTCCTTCTTTTAATTAACTGCTTCCTGAGGCCCTACTGTGTGCTCTGGACAAGAGAAGAAACTCCCTCCAGTGTCTAGGGAGAAAACAAAATAAAGAAAAACTGTCTCGCAAAAACAAAACAAATAACAAAAAAGCCAGAACATTTTGACCCTAAGATCAGAGGTTCAAACTGATTCCTTTTCAAATCTTCATAAAGCACCTAGAATCAAAAGAGTTTATTGCTAAAAGAGACCTTAGAGATTACTGACTCTCATTCCTCCTCACTTAGTAAGTGAGACAGCAGATCTAGAGTGTGTAGTGACTCACCCAGGATCACACAGCCGCTTAGCAGTGGAGGCTACACCACATGCCAATTCAAGGTTCCTCCTCCTGCCTAAGCCAAGCCTGTCCTATGGCTTAGGGGTATTGTGAGCAGTGACCACTGGGGCCTTCCTTCATGCAGTGATGGCCACTGTCCATCCATTCCCTCTTCTAGACCACCATGGGCTGGGTTGATCATGATGGTAACCAGTCCTTGGAACCGAGGGCTTGGAAGCTCAGATCTCTCTGCTGTCCTGACCACTGGCCTCTGGATGGCACAGTGGAAGGAAATACATGAGTCAGGAAATATGTGAGTCGGCTTGTGTTAGAGCTAGGATGTCTGAGTTAGCCCCAGAGGCCCAGCACAGCCTTCCTGGGGGGCCAGCAGGCTGGGGAGTTAAATTCTAACAACATGGCAGTAACAGCTTTGATGCCATAAGGGCTTTCTATGTCCCAGGCTGGGGACATTTATATGCATTGTCTCACTGAGTCCTCCATGATGCCCAGAGGTAGCTAGTTTTATTAAGTGTATTTTGCAAATGGAGAAACCGAGCTTCAGATAGGTTATAAAACTTCCCAAGATTGTACAGCTAGCTAGTGAACGCCAACCCACATTTAGTTGACACTCCTCTCTCTGTGCTTAACTGCTCTGACACCCCAAAGGCCCAGCCTGACAGGCAAGACTCAGGAGCTATGGCTCAGCCCCCAGCAAAGCATGGATGGCCTTGGGAAATATCCCCCAACCCTGTTGTGATTTTCCTAGCAGAATGAAGATAATCAGCCTGCCTGCCATCTAGGGAGCTGTTCAGAATATTAATGTGCCCATGTCCTGGAAGCCCTGGGTGCTCCAGGAAGGAGGCGGGATTAGGGTACCCATATGTTGCCTTCTGGCTGGCAGAGAAGACCCAAATCCCCAAGTCAGGTTCTTAACATTTAGAAGGTTATAGGCATTTGAGGATGACTTAACAACAACATCAACAACAAAATCTGTTCACTCTTTATCTCAGAAATATGCACACATGTACTTATACATATTTTTGCATGACCAGGAGGGGTAGAAACAGAGATGGTCATAGACGCTCACCCCAGGACCTCACATTTAGAATATAAGCCTTGAATAGTGACCGTCTCTCTTAGTCTGTTTTTATAGTCTGCCAGCCAACAGCAGTTAAGTACATGGAAGTGAAGATATGCCCAGCTTTGCTAGACGGAGTCTGCAGAGGGGTGAGCCATTAGAGTGCTGAGACATAGTCCCTGCCTTTTAGGACTCACAATCCAGTTCCAAAGGCAAGATAAGCCTATGGGAAATAATAGCAAGGAAGGTGCAGATTAAGGACTGTAGGTGCTGTGGCTCGTCACAGCAGAAGGCCATCACTGAGCAGCCTGGATGTGAACAAAGCCTCCTGCAAGAGCGTGATGGGGCCTTTTGATAGCGAGAGATGTAGACTGGAGTAGCCTAAGCAAATTGAGATAGATGGCCACATACACCTTAAAGGAAGGGAGAACTTGAATAAGGAGTAAATCAGGTTTGGGTGGGGACACCAATGAGACTCAGCAGGAGACCAGAGGAAGGGTAGAAGGTTAGCATCCTGCCGGCCTGGGAGAGAGTTAGGATGAGAAGAGCCAGGCTCGAACTGAGGCTCCACCAAGCACTATTTAGGGAATTTTGAGCCAATTGCCCAAGTTTTCTAGCCTGGATTTCCTCATCTTCTAAATAGACATAATCCTTTTAGCACCACCTCTCCCACTGGCTTGTTATAAGAGTCAAAATTATCAGAAAGCATAGTGTATATTCTTCTGTGAACTTCATCAGGGAAACTGCACGAGAGAAACCAAGATTATTCTTTCCACTGTTCAGATGGAAAAGTGAAAGCTCAGAGGGGTCCTCATATTTGCCCTGGCTTCAATAACTAAGATGTGGGGCAGCTGGGACGCAGGCCACAGGCCTTACAAGTGAGCATCCAAGAGGAGGGACCCTCAGGAGCAGTCTGTAAAGGTGTAATACAGGGAAAAATAGTTACAAAATATTCTCTAGGTGTTGTCCACCTCTTTAAAAATTTTGTAATGAATATTTTATAAAAAAAAAAAAAGACACATTTAGCTACAATTTCCTATTTTCTCTATGCACAGTGACTTTCTGAGTGACTTTTGGGACACCCTATAGAAGTCCTGGGTCCAGAGTGGCTTGTCTTTCTCCCCCAGGGCTACTTTTCAGGTTCCAGTGGGGGAGGAGGAGAAGAGTCAGTGCTGACAACAGACAAAGATTCATTCCTCAACCAAACTTTACTCAGGCTCCCAAACTTCCACCTAGGCCATGGGTGCATTTCTTATAAAATCCAATTTTAACAAAGAATCCTGCTAAGTCAGTTTAGCAAGACCCCCACGGTTGGGTTCTTCATCCCCCATGTGATGTCTGATCTCCCTGCCCTATTATCCCTGATGTCTCCTCCTAGTAATTTTCTATTCACTGACCCCCATCCTGTCCTGGGTTATTAAATTCCCACTTGCCTAAGCTATATTCAGAGTTGAGCCCAGTCTCTCTCCTATTACAACACCTCATTGCCATTGTCCCTATACTGTAGCTATGATCCTGAATAAAGTCTTTCTTACTGTCCTCGAAGATAAGTGTCATTGAATAATTTCCTCATTAAGATGCCTAGGTCATTAACCCGAACTCCTGGTACTAGGTGGGAAAGAAAAGGTATGCTTTGGCCTCCCACTGGTGGCAGACACTGAGCAGGAACCCAGTACCATTTACAGGAAATGTAAGGTTTAATCCAGGCGTCCTCAAACTATGGCCTGTGGGCCACATGTTGCCCGCCAAGGACATTTATCTGGCCTGCCGGGTGTTTTTGCCGCTGCTGCCTGTCCTGCTTAGCAGCTGACTCGTCCCAGGGCCCACAGTCCGGCCCTCCAACAGTCTGAGGGACAGTGAACTGGCCCCCTGTTTAAAAAGTTTAAGGACCCCTGGTTTAATCCTTCATCTTCTATGGAGGGAGTTGGGCTCCAGGATAGTGATAGGAGTTCCGGGAGCAGGAACAAGGAGAAACACCCAGGTTCCATCAGTCTGACCTCAGTTCCCTGAAGAGTGGGGAGGGAGGATGCCTGCCCAGAAGTCAGACCTGATGGATGGAGATAGCACTTTCAACATGTTTCTGAGAAGCTTCTTGCTCTGACTCAGAGTCTTGACTTCCCACAATGAGTAGTCAGGCCTGAGCTAT